CGCCACCCGGGCCGAGGGGTCTGTAGAGCCCGCGCAGCATAGGCCGCAGCACTGAGGCTGGCTGGGTGGTGATGGGCAGCGTGGAGGCGATGGGCGTGTTGATGGTGGAGTAGATCATGCCGTCGGCGGCCCGCACAGTGGCGGTGGAAGGGAACATCTGCCGGACAGCGCCCAGGCGGACATTGGGGACGTTGTACTGCGCCAGGCTGCCGAAGCCCTGCCGTGCCTCAGGGAAGGTGGGGTTGTACATCCCACCAGGTTTGGGGGGTGCGGGGCCTTGCTGCTGAGTCGCCAGCCCCCCCGCACCCCCTGGTGCTGCGCCGGGGCCGTAAGGCAGCAGGTCTGAGCCGTTGGCATGCCGGCCACCATACTGGTCCATGGAGTTGAGGGCGGCGCACATGCGGCTGATCTCTCGCGCCGTGGTGGCACTGTAGTGGGCCAGGCTGGACTCCTGGAAGCTGGCCAGGTCCCCCCGGGGCGAGAAGCGGTAGTCAGAATAGATATTGGAGGCCGAGCTGTACCTCCGCATGGGGAGTGGGTGGCCCAGCATCTCTGCTGGCTGGCGGAGGTCAGAGAAGGAGCCATACTGCAGCCCCTGGCCCAGGTAACCACCCTCGGCAAAGCCCACGCTGTAGGAGTGCTTCATCGTGCTGAGGTCCACGGCGGCGTCGCCTGCCAGGGAGGGGAAGGGCTGATCCCCCTTCATGGGATAGTAGTTCATCCCGATTTCAGAGAGGTTCGTGTCTGACATGGAGGAGTAGAGGCGGCCAAAGGCGCTGGAGGGGTAAAACTTCTGCTCCTCGTAGAGCGCAGGCGCTGGGGCTGGCTGCTCCCGGTAGGGAAAGGTCTCTGGCAGCTCTGGCTCTCTGCTGCCATAGAGGGGTCCACTGGCTTTCCGTCCAGGTGCCCCCACCTCCCCAGCTTTCTTCTCCGGCATCTTGGAGGTGGGATTGAAAGCACCGGTGCAGCTGCTGCCAAAGGGGAACTTGTAGACCACATCGCAGCAGGCCACCTGGCTCTCCGGCTTCATGCCTGTGAGGTCCAGCACATTGGCCGGTGGCTCCTCCTTCAGTACTTTGGTCACTGGGCCAGCCACCGCCTCCTCCATCTGCACCATCATCACCTGGGACTTCTTGCCGCCCAGGGCGAGGAGAGGGCTCTGGCTCTTCAGCTCCACTGGCACTGCACGGTACAGCTCTGAGCCTGGCTCTGGCGGGAAGGGCTGTGGGAGGCTGCCGACGTTCTGTGCCCCACCAGTCTGTGTGATGAGCACGTCCTTCTTCACAATCTGGCCTGGCATGCCATACCTTGCAAACTTGGTCTGAGGGGCTGCAGCGGGCTCGGGCTTGCCGCTGGCCACCCCGCTGGCTCTAACAGTGGCTGTCTGGACACCCTGCTCCATCTGCTTTACCTGCGCCAAGCACACTGGGCTCCCACTCCCCTGGCCGAAGTCCACCCGGCTCTGGAAAGGGTCTCCGTAGACCACAGGCTGCTTGGGCTGCGAGAGCAACATGGGGGAGGCAATGGCCAGGCCAGCAGTGCTGGCTGCTGCGATGATGGCGTGGGGCTGCTCCTGGGCATTGAGGTTGATGATCAAGGGCTGGATGGCCGTGGACTGCCGGCTCGGGATGTGGTCCAAGGTCAGGCAGTACTTCCTGGCCTCAGTGGCCAAAGAGGTGAGATCCATGCCTTGGTCCGTTATGATGATGGGGGCAGACTTCAGTGCAGTCCGTAAGTCCACGGCGTTAGTGCTCGGCACCTTGGGCCCTGGCTCCACCCGGGATGTGCCAGGGACGGAGGAGATACGGCAGAGGGAGATGTTTTCTGCAGGGAGTGCTCCCCAGCCATACAGTCCTGCAATGCTGTCAGTGGCTGAAGTCACGGCGGGTGCCTTCTGGGCGTGCTCCTTCACCGGCTGTGCCCTGATGTAGGCACCTTGTGGCTGCTCTGGCTCCGGTGCCTGGCTGTAGCCATGTGCCGGCAGCTGCCGGCTCGGCCTGGTGGGAGATGAGGTGGGGGACATCGAGGAGCCGGAGCTGGCTGGCTTGGTTTGGCTGGCTGCATCGGCTGCCAGTGTGATCAGCATGAAGGGGGAATCCTGTGAGGGCTGCCGGGCCAGGCGTGGTGAGCCCGCCCGGTGTGGCGTCTGTGTCCCCTGTGCCACCAGAGAAGAGGCAGCAGGGCCAGCAGAAGTGGCAGTGGGACCCTCATAGGGGAGGATGGGGCTCTGTGTCTGCGTGGAAAACTCTGCGGTGGCCTTTGCGGTGCGGGTGGGACTCTGCGTTGGGGAGGTGGGTGAGAGCGGAGGGCTGGAGCTCTTGAAGAAGGGGTACATCTTGGGTGGTGGGGGCTTGCTGTCGCTCACGGCCGGGAGCTTCTCCCTGGCAGTCTGCACGCTGATTTCCACTGCTGCCTTGCTTCTGCCAGTGTCCTCTGTCTGTGAGCCGTAGCTGACGGTGCTCTTCACCGGACTGTAGCTTCTGCTGGCTATGGATGGGGCCTCTGGTGCTGGGGAGCTGTAGCTCCGCAGTGCACTCCCAGGGCTGCTCGCTGCTGTCGTCACTGTGCTGGCACCTTTGCCATAGGTGTAAGGAGTGGTGGCAGCCTTGGACACCGGGCTGGGTGCTACTGGGGCGCTCTGGAGCTTGGCTAGCTCTTGCCCCTCTTTCGCAAAATGCTGGGTGACCCGGACGTCAGGAATGCCCTTGCCTGTGCTGCTGTCGGAGGTGGCAAAGGAGACGGGAGCGGAGAGCTGTGTGGGACTGGTGCCAGGGGTGAGCGGGCCACCATTCTGCTTCATCAGGTCGGCATAGGCGCTCTCAGCATTGAGGAAGTGCTTGTCCTGGTATGTCTCATCCTGCCCCTTCACTTTCTCTCCCTGCTCAAGGGCCAGGTCGAAGGAGGAGGACTGGTGCATCCTGGAGATGCTCTGTGAGGTCTGCAGGATCTCCTCATACACGGCCCCTGCCTTCGGCAGGGCACTGGGATAGCTGGGCTGGGAAGGGCGCGCAGGGCCACTGTCATACCGGTACTCCTCGGCATACTGGTACTCGAATCCGTTCTGGCCCTCGGTGCCGCGGTAGCCAACCTGCTGGTAGGCGCCACTGTAGGAAACCGCTGGCTGGGCCTGCTGGACCTGCTGCTTCTGCATCATCTCTGCCTTCCTCATCATCTCCTCATAGGCTTCTTCAGCGCTCTTGAGGGGCTTGCTGGCAGGCTGGCTGGGGCTGCTCTCCCCCTTCTCCGTCGGGGAGTACAGCGACATGAAAGTGGGCAGGTTGTACTCACTGCCCGACTTGTAGAGCTTGGAGGCCACGGCGTCAAAGCTCTCAGCCTCTGAGTCGATGGAGGGTGAGTACTCAGAGCAGGAGGAGCGGTGCAGCTCCTCCATCTCTGCTGCCTGCCGCAGCTCCTCAGTGGGGGAGGCGTCTTCGATGGGGGAGAGGTTGCTGGGGGGGGTTTTGGAGCGCTCCCTCCTCCGCTGAGCCCTCAGCTCCTCCTTGTCACGCTTAGTCTTGCGCGCAGTGCTCCGGATGCGCTGCTGCTCCACCTCCCGCATCTTCTCCTGCTCCCTCAGCAGCTCCTCTTCCTCCCGCAGCTCCTCCTCCTCAGATGAGTCCTCGATGGTGGGCAGCAAAGGGCCATGTGAGCGGTGGCGAGCCTTTCTCTGCTGCTTCACCTCCTCCAGACGCTGCCGGCGGCTGGGGCTGCTGTCGCTGTCCTCCTCCAGGGAGGAGATGGAGGTGGGCGAGGTGCCCGAGGTGTAGCTGGGTGTTGTGGCCGGCAGGGTGGAGGAGTACTCGCCACGGGAGCGCTCCTCGGGAGAGCCTGTCAGGCTCTCCATCTCCAGCTCAGGCTCCCGGTCCAGGCTGGTGTCTGCCTCCTGGCCCATCTCCATCTCCCGCCCGTAGCCAGTCGTGCTGTTCAGCTCGATGGTCTTGAAGCGCCGCAGCCCGCCCTGGGCCGTGCTCAAGTCATCGCCCTCCGCCGCCTCCAGCTCCTGCCTCTCCTCCTTGTACAGGCTGCTGGAGCTGTGTGGCAGACGCCGCTTAGCCGATGCCGGCTCTTTGCCCTTCTCCACCTCAGCCTTCTGCCCAGCTTTGGGGACGCTGCACTTGGCACGTCTGTAGCCCTCCTCCTCCTCCTCCAGGTTGTCCTCCTCCGCACTCATCTCCAGGATCTGCCTCCGCATGAACTCCTCGTCGCTCACCTCTGCCTCCCGGCCCTTGGGCCGGGGGGGCACCGGGGAGAAGCCCCCCTCGCTGCTGTCTTCCACGTAGTCGTGCCGCAGCTTGCTGCCAAACTCATCCGAGGACTCTGCACTCTCCCGCCTCTCCCGCTGGTTCTCCCACTCCATTGAGTCCTCATCCTCCTCCAGGATGTCCTCCAGCTCCTCATCTGAGTCAAAGGCTTCGGGGGTGATGGAGAGGTACCGTGGCCGCTGCCGCTGCCGCTGCTCCTCCCGCGGCTCCGGGCAGCTCTTGCCCTGCTCGGTGAGCTCCGGTGGGGCACCCCGGCCTTCCAGGAGTGGCCGCATACTGCTCTCCAGCTTGGTGAGCTCAGAGGGGCTGGGGGGGCTCTGCCCAGCCAGCCCGGTGCCGCTCAGCTTCTCCTCCTCCTGCTGCACCAGGCCGGTGATCTCGCTCTGCGAGCTGGAGATGCCGTCGGAGGAGTAGCCGGTGTCGCTGAGGCTCTGGGGGCTGCGGGACAGGTCCGGGGGGTAAGGCTTGCTCCCATCCTGTGGGCGAGGGAGAGCACAGCGTCAGACCTGGGCAGCTCCGGAGCTGCTCCCCCCTCTCCCCCCCCAAACATTGGGGAGCCCATGGAAGGTCTGGGAAGCACTGAGAGCCAGCCCAGCATGAAGGCTGGGGGTTGCCCCATGTCCCCCCCTCAGTGGCTTGTCAGCAATTTGTCTGCATGCTCAGGAAGGCAGGTGACAGGGCTCGCTGCAGGCAGGGGATGGCACAGCACATGTCCCCAGGGCCAAAGGCATTGCGGGACTCATAAATATGTTTAGAAAACTGACCCTGTCAGTGTTATCTCCCTGGATAACTAATACGAGAAGGCTGTCCAATGGCAACATCGATTTTTTTTTTTACTTAGAGAGATGGTGGTGGCTGAGCCCTGTCTGTAAGGCTCCGGGTACAGATGGCCACACACCCTTCCCTGGGGCAAGGATGTGAGGGCAGAGCTGCCTGCTGCTCTCCCCAGACAATCAGGCAGCTGCCTACCACTCTCCCCAGGCAGGCAGGCAGCTGCCTGCATGGGGAGAAGCCCAAGCACTTGTAATTGGGGGGTGTCTTGCGAGGGGGCAGCCCTTGCCCCCCAGTGCTCAGCCAGGCTGGCATGGCAGCACTGAGAGGACAGAAGCTTTACTGGTGGCAGCCATGGGGAACAGCTGCCTCTTAATGAACTCTAATTGCCCTGACAGCTCTGCAAAGCAGCCTTCAGAAGCAGCGCAGCCTCCAGGATCCTCCTTAGATGCCAGCAGAAATAAACAGGCCCTTTTAATTGGTGTTACAATTAGGCAGCATCGGGGCAAGCCTCTGAGCTGTGGGGCAAGTGCCGACATGCCCAGCCTTGGTGCCACCCACAGGGCCTGTCATCCCCACAGAGGCACCATGGACCTTACTGGATTTTGGAAGCACCAGCAGTCAGGGATGCGAGAAGCCTCTTCCCTGGGGGCAGCCGTCCCTTCCCAGCTTTTGGAAGACTTCCCACTGCATCCCCTCCCCACGGTGGCTGTGCTGGCTGATGCTGGGATGGTTGCTCATGGGGCAAAACCATACCAATACAGCCATATGTTTCCCCAAACTGTATTGAATTTTTAAAAAGGTGGGATAAGGAGCTTGAAAAATGCCCACTGCTGCAACAAGTGAAATGAGTTTTCCATTTAATGACAAATTCAGCTGCCCTCATGTTATTTTAAAACAAATCCACAGGACAAAGACGAGCTGAACTATTGAATTATGCTCAAACTGATGTAATCATAATAAAGAGAAAGCAAATACCAGCATGCTGCTACAGAGCCTGCAAAGTTCCTAAGTGGTTTGGAAGGGCTGAGACAGCAATGTTTTGAGCTCATCACTTCCCAAAAGGCCATTTTCTGAGGCAAATGGCCTCAATGACACAGTTTCTGCTCTGACTTGGAATAAAACCCTGTTTCTGAGCACGGCCACCGCAGAGGCATGGCTCGGTGCCACACTGGCCCTGGGTGAGATGCGGTCCACAGGGATGCTCAGAGCTGGAAGCACCCTGACAACTCACCTCCTGGTCCTTCGCCTGCGGCGCCTCGGGGGGTGCCCGGCTCTCCTTGCTCTCCACCTCTGGTTTGGGGGTTGTGCTCTTCCCCTTCAGCACGGCACTCTCAGGAGCTCTGGAAGGCTCTGGGACAGCTTTGGGCAGCGGCTTTTCCTCTGCTGGAGCTGGGGGCTTCTTCTCGGCTGGGGCAGGGCTCGGGGTCCTGCTCTGCTCGGCAGCCCGGAGGGTCCTCGCGGGGGAGGGCTGCTGCTCAGGGGGTGCTACCGGCTCGGTGGGCACCGGCACGGGTGCTCTCTGCTGCTGGCCAGCGGCTGGTGGCTGGTGCCGCGGGGAGCCGGTGGGCGGTTGCTTTGGGGCAGGCAGTGGCATCGGGGCAGGGTCACCGAGGCTGCCTTCGAGCAGCCGCTGAGTTTGGCAGTTCAAGCACAGCCATTCGTTCTTCTGCAAAACAGAGAAGGAAAAGTTCTGTTCAAACCCTGGGAGCTTCATCTCAGCAGAGACCTGGCCAAGAAGTTCAGCTGATGGGACACGTGGTGATGGTGCAAAGGACTCAGTGCACCCAAACCAGAAAACCAGCTTCAGAGAGGCCAGGCTGCGAGCAGGCAACTGCCGAAACACCCGTGTGGGCTGCAGAGGGGCATGTACCCCACAAACCATCTAAGAGAGACCATCTACCTTAAACTACCCCTACCCTTGTTCAGTGGTGTTCAGCCAGAGGGACCGTAGCCACAACACAGGCGTTTCACACTCCCCCCATGACACCTCAGTATCACCAGCTCTTTTCATGTCCAGTCTTGCTGGTATTTTGGTTTTAAGTGAAACAATGAAAGCAGATTACTACTGTAGCTTAACACTTCTTGGGCTCCATACAGCTTCTCTCTCACTCTGATTTGTTTTCCTCGATAGAATAAAGGTTTAATAGCATAATCATAATACTTAACAATCTTCTTTTTCTAGGTTATCAGAAAATACTGGCTACACGAGTACGCAAAAATTTCCCAAAGATATTACCCAAAGTACACGCTGTGCAGGAAAAGAACAAGACAATCTCGTCTAGTGAAATTCTCAGCAAGAGCCGTTGTTTTATGGCCTGGAAAAAGCTGCTTGCAAGCAGGGCTGTGAGTGGCAGAGAGCCTGCGGGGCTACGGCAGGGGCTCTGCATTAAGGGATCAGAAGCACTTTTCTTCCCCCAGGTCGTCCAAGGGCTATTTTTACCCACCCAGGAATGTCCAGGAATAGGGGCCTGACATTTACTTCCCTTCTGATGTTTCACCATCTCAAATCTTTTTGGTTTTGCTGCTAACAGACTGATATGCTCCAAGTCCTTTTCCCCAGACTCCTCTTTTGCTGATCCATTGCTCCCAAAGCTTGGGGTGGCCAACCCTGGGGGGCAGCTGGCCCCAGAGGAGCCATCCAGCTGTTAGAGAGGTGGTCTTAGTCTTCAGCTGGACCAGCCTGGGGCCAGGGCTGCAAGCCAGCTGTGTCTCCTGGGGCCATGGCAGCCACGGCCTCCACGTAGATAATGAGGTTCACCAAAATGGCCTTGAGGAAACAGCCTCAAGTTGCACCTGGGGAGGTTTAGATTGGATATTAGGAAAAAATTCTTCACTAAAAGGGTCGTTAAGCACTGCAACAGGCTGCCCAGGGGAGTGCTGAGTCCCCACCCCTGCAGGTATTCAAAGCACATGTAGCCACGGCACTTAGGGACATGCTTTAGTGGTGGACTTGGCAGCCTTAGGTTAATGGTTGGGCTTGATAATCTCAAGGGTCTTTTGCAACCTACATGATTCTATTCTATGACTCTAAAAAGCATACCTATGGGATGGCAGCAGCAAAATGAGCTTGGAACCTGCATCCAGCCAGGAGTCCCCAAGTTTTGACAAGATGCTGGAGATGCTTTGCAGTTGGTGGTGGCCAGGAGTAATGGGCTTCCCCACAGACACTTCTTCACTCATACAGCAACCTAGACCAGGAGCAGCCATCCAGCTCATGCTCTCCGGGGAGCAGAGGGGCAGGAGGGCTTCTTCTGCGGCATGCAATGTCCTCCTTCCCACCCACACCACCCCACAGCAGCCCCTGCTCTTCACACAAACATCTTAAGAATACATTAGGGCTTTGGAAGGCCATAAAAAAAAATCCCTTGCAGCATGGTAATATTTAATTACTGCTTAATCAAAGAGAAAGTCTAATTAAGGGGCAAGTGCAGCCTATTGTATCTTAATGATTGCATTTGTCTTCTTTTATTTCAGAGCTCGCTCTTGTCCCTGTGCCTCTGAATCAGATCTCCTCGCCCTGCTCTGCTGTGTAATTATTTCAGACTGCAGAAGGAAATGTGATTGCGTGACACAAATTGAATCCCTGCCTCATGGAAATATGCGGCCTTTCATTTTTCTTTCAGGAATCCCATTTTTCTTCACCAGAGCTCCCTCCCCAGTGCTAGCAGTGAGGGGGAGGCGCGATGCAGACTGGATGGGCTGGCTGTGCCACGGTAGAGCTCAGCTCAGCTCCTGCCCATTGCTCTCTGCCACGCCATCGTGCCAACTCCTGCAGGAATTGGAGATCAGCCCGCCTTGAACTACCCCCTTAATACACCCCTTGGATGGGACATTGCTTGTGCTTATGCTGTCCCACCCTGCCACACCGTGGTGGCTGGGAAGCTCTGGACAAGGGTATGGGCACAGCTGCTTTTGCCCTTTCAGTGAAAAATTCAAGCCAAGGATGGTCATGGAAGGCCAACGCTGGTCACCGGGTGCCAAATGCAGGCACTGAGTGCCAATCAGGTCCCATCCAAGGAGGTGGCTCCTGTACCCATGGAGAGACAGGAGTCACACATGCTCTGGCCAGTGCCCTGCTGGGACAGCCACCATGGCAGAACACTCTCCAAAGTGTGTAAGCTCTCAGATCAGTGTACTCCTTCTGTCTAGGCTTGACTGGATATAGATGCACGTGCTTTGCAAAAGCAAATGTTCAGCGTGAACATTAGGAAAAGCCCCTTTTCTGAGGCAGCAGTGCAGACTGGGACAGTCACTGTGGGGTCTCCATGCTTGGATGGGGTTCAAGGCTTTGCTAGACAAAGTCCCCTGTGTTGGTGGCGGTCCTGCTCTGTGTGGGAGGCTGGACTGGAGACCTCATACTCCCCCACCAGCACCTTCCTGAGTCCATGCTGGCAAGGAACACCACCATGGTGCAAGGTAAGCATGAGTGGAGAGGATCTGCTGGTGTCATCTCATCAGGATAAGGTTTAGGGGTCCTCCAAGACCAGGCGAGCACAGGACTGATCCATACTATGGGGATCTGATGGCTCCACAGATTGGTCTGAGCATCCTCCCTCAGGTTCCTCCCAGCTGTGGCTCCGCAGCTATTTCTCTTGGCAGCTGCCCCAGTTTGAGCAGGTCGCCCTACCATCCTGCTCTCGCAGATGTGACAGCTTGACTCTTCACGGGACTGCACTGGGAAGTGGATAAGGGAACGCTCTCTGGTAAAAATAGCCCTGCCAAAAAGATTGTGGAGCTCCACTCTGAAATGCCCCTTGCCTTTCACAGCAGGCAGAAAGGCATGGGTACAGAGGGAAGGTGGAAAGCAGGGAAAGTCGCAGGTGGAGCTGGCCCTTAAGCCTTCACCAGTCGTGAGAGATGTCAGCCAAGCCCCGGGAGATGCCCAAGATGAGAGTGGTATACACTGAGTTTGCATTTTCTCCTCCTGGCTTTTCTTTTGACACCTCTGGGGTCTCCTGTGCTAGGGAGACTCTTCCAACAGTCCAGCACCCCACACTTTAGTCTGAACCTCTGTGGAAAATCACTACGTGGTTACAGCCTTGGGTTGCAGAAAACCAGGGAAGGGATAATTGAATTTTTCTGAGGGGTGGGAGAGCCCCTGGCCCTGTCAGCAGCCAGTGCCGTGCCAAGCCGTGTGTACACTGTGAGCACAGACTGTGCCGCAGCAGCCAGCACACCGTTTGCCATCGCATCCCGGCACTTGCTGCAGTGAATACCTCCAGCAGCAGGAGCTGCAAGCTGCCTGGCTCCTACACACGTGCTGGGGGGCAAGAAATCCTGCCTGTGGCAGTTACAGGGAGATGGGAGGCAAGCAAAACTGCCTGTACCCATCAGAAATATCTCTGGCAAACCTCTCCAAGCTCTCAATCCCTGTCTTTAAGAGACCTCTGCAGCCCCACCAACACCCGGCACTGACACCCATCATGCGGCTGGATGCTAAAAACCCAGAGGCTCAGTGCAGATGTTGGGTCTGAGGCATCCCACAGCCCCACGCCAGTGCATCATGCTCTGCTGTGACAAATGACCTGTCCCTCTCCCACAGCCCTGCAGCCTTGTCGGCTCAGTGTTTGGTTATCCCGCAGCACCTCCACTCCCTCTCAGAGGGATCGGCTCTGGAGCAGCTCGCCAGTACGTATGGCTTGGCTGCAGGCACTTCCCAGCTAATGCACCCGGCAGGATTAAGCTGCCCCTGAGAAAAATGCAAACATTCGACGACCGGCTGATTTGCTAACAGCTTGTAAATCCCCATCGAGATTAACCAGATCCCATGAAGATAATAATAATTAGGCTGTATTTAGCGCTTTGCATGTCCAAGCCGTTGGATGCCCAGGAAGGCAGGGTGCTCCTCTCTGGGGCGGTAAGTGGGTAAGGAGCTTACAGCAAAGGCGTGCCGGTGCCTGTCTGAGTCTGTGCTTAAAGATACTGGAAAGCTTGACCCCATAAGGATGGGGATGGGGGCTTGCTTGACACCAAGGTTTGCTGCCTTAGGATGCACCGTGGTGGCAGGCACAGGGGGTTTAACTGTGCAGAGAGCAGGCAATGGGAGCCGGGGCTGGTAAAAACCATAGCACACGGTGGACAGGCAGTGCATGCGCAACATTGCTGGGATGCAGAGCGGGCTCCAGGTGGAGGAAAGCATCAATAATTAAAGAGAAGGATGAAACCAAAGTGCACCTGAGATGCCATCTTAAATGAAGAGGTGCTGGCAGGACAGGGAGTGCTGGAAACTGGCCAGCCAGGCAAGCGGGGGGGTGAGGGTGTTGGGAGGCTGCCCAGCCAAACCGGGTTATCAGCTTACACCCCTGGAGAGTCACTGCCCTGACCCCTCGGGCTCACAACCTTCCTCACCCTCAAACCACTGGGATTTGCAGAGGAGATACGGAAAAAGTAGGTTTCCACAGAGAGAAATGGAGCTCCTGTGGTCTTTTGGGGCAGGACAGAGCCCCGGGTGCAAGACAGCCCTGGCCAGCAACAGAGAGCGGGTGGCTTCGTTCAAGGCATCACATCTGAGCTGCAACGACTATCCCGATTTTTAACTGCGCACCACGGGAGCGGCACTGGGAAATGCAGCATGCGGCCACAATTCCTGCTGGCTCGCTGAAGGGGCGGCGATTGCCGTGCTGACGGCTGCCTGCGCTCCCTCCCGGGGGCCAGGGGGGATTTGCC